CACTGCTGTGTGTGTGCACTTTGGATGGGTTAAATGCAGAGCACTAATTCCGAGTATGGGTCACCATACTTGGCCACATGTCACTTCACTCACATCTTTTTTCATTACTATTAAAGACCTGAATGATGTCACATATGTGTGGAGTCTAAATTACTATGAACGTAGAATGGTTAGTGTTACTGAGGGACATAACATTTAAAGTCGTTTTTTTTTCTAGAAAAAAATATTTTTTCAAGAAAGGAACACAAATAAACATTTATTATTGCCAAAAATTGTAAACACTGCACATTTTGTCAACTTTACAAGTACAAATTCAGTGCCTCGGGCATGACAAAATGCTTGGTGTAAGATAGAAATGAGACATTATTTTATGATAAAAAATATTTAAATGCAATAAGTATTTTTATTAATTATAATGGGCATACCAAAGTACTGTGAAAAGCTTTTAACACTTCATTTTGGTGAACCACCACTTTAAAAAGTCTGGGAGAATGAAATATGACCGGAATGACCCTTAACCGTTAAACACTATTGATAAAATAAAATTGTGGTAAAGCTGTTTAACTTAAATTTCTCTGCTAGTAGCATCAAGCCAATTTGCAAAAGAAAAAAATACTGCCTATTTATAAATAATAAGAGGCTAATACTTAAAACAGTTTGCAAACGCTGCTGAAAACAAAACCAAGACCCTTTTGACAAAATAATGGTCGCTATGATTTTTGATTGGTTAACGCGCGCTCAGATTCTTTTATTTTTTATTTTTTCCAGTTTACAATTTTTAAGGGATTCCTCAGTTATTTTAATAACAGTTATCAGATAGCAGGGACTTTTTATACAATGTAACCTATTCGAAAAAAAAAAAAACCCGCTTACTGCTTTAAAGCTATTCTAAATGTAAATACCAGCCCATTCTGCTGTTCTCAAACGCGGAGCACCGTCATATTCCTATAGTAAGCTCGGAGTGAACAGGTTCAAACAGCCTGGCCCACGCAGCAGAGCGCATGTCTGAGGTCTGAACCCACGTTTAACTCCGAGAACTTTCTCAGTGAGTTATGCACCTGCAACAACTTCCCTCACCGTCCGCAGTGTCCGACAAACCGGCGAGTGCGGACAATGTTTTTACGCACATCGCCGCCGCCGGGGACACCCTGGAGAACGAGCCACCGTTGAAAAGACTCTCCACCGGGATGAGAAACCCCTCAAACGCTCTGGACTACGTCTCCGCGGCACGGGGTGACAGTGAAAGTGCGGACAAGTGTGATTTGCCTGAATCAAGCCAAGCGCGCGAGGATTTCGCCTTCTCTTCTGCCATGTTCTCGTATTCGGGGCAGCCTTTACCCGCGCTCCCGCCACTCTCCGGTCCCTACATGACACCTCACCCGATCATCAGCAACGGGCCGTACAATGGGCTGAGCTATGCGTACTCACAGCAGTACGGACAAACTTACCCAAACGCCGCCGTCTATCCTGGAAAAGCCCAGGTTTACCTCTGTAACCTCGCGCTGTGGTTCAAATTCCACAGACACCAAACAGAAATGATCGTTACCAAACAGGGGCGGTAAGTCTACTTCTTTAAGTCTACTTTTTAAATGTATTTTAATTGGTTATTTAAAAAAAAAAAAAAAAAAAGCAAAAGTGACTGCATTGCTTTTTATTAATAATTTAGAATAATGTGTAATATTGTAATTTTATTTGTTGCATATTTTATTAATGCCAATAGCCTATAATTGATTTGTTGGTAATTATTATAAATTAATAATTTTGGGAAAGTATTTTTTTTCTGTTCAGATTATTGGTGTGTGTCTGTTGGTCTGTTTCTGGTATTGCAATGTGTCGTTTATATTTATTTTTAATGTAATTGTTTAATAATAATTTTACTTTTGGAAAAGTGATTTGTTTTTTCGGTTAATTTTCCTGCAGCCGGATGTTTCCGTTTCTAAGTGTTAGTGTTGCTGGTCTTGACCCGACGTGCCATTATAATATTGTTGTGGATGTGATCCTGACGCATCCAGTGCGCGCCAGTGTTTGGAGAGTCCGGGTGCATGTATACTCGGTTTCCTTTAACAATAAAAAAAATGTAAAATACATATGTTACTATTAAACTGAAATAACTAACATTATAATAACTGTAGACTATATTTATTAATATTTGAGTTTTTTTTTCTCAGTGCATTTATAAACCTGCACTCTAAAAAATGCTGGGTTAAATACAACCCAATTGCTGGGTTTGTCCCTATTTTACCCAGCACTGGGTTGTATTTAACCCAGCATTTTTTAGAGTGCAGGTTTATAAATGCACTGAGAAAAAAAAACTCAAATATTAATAAATATAGTCTACAGTTATTATAATGTTAGTTATTTCAGTTTAATAGTAACATATGTATTTTACATTTTTTTTATTGTTAAAGGAAACCGAGTATACATGCACCCGGACTCTCCAAACACTGGCGCGCACTGGATGCGTCAGGAGATCTCGTTTGGAAAACTGAAGCTGACGAACAACAAGGGAGCTTCCAGCAACTCTACTCAAGTGATTTCTTGTTTCATTTCATTTTCTCTTCATGATAAGAATCAGAAGTCTTTTAGTATAGGGTGAGTTCAGAAAAAGCTAGACATCAGGTGAGTAATTGGCAATAATGTAATGAGTTTTTAATTTGCCTGCGATGACCGCCAGCAGCAAATGTTAACATCGAACCAATTTCAGCTGGCACATGAAAAATTACCTTCACAAGACTATTTAGGGGTACAATCACTTTTATGTTAACATGTTGCCATAAAGTAGCACTCTTTTAATTCAGTTCACCCAAAAATGAAAATTCTGTCATTAATTACTCACCCTCGTGTCGTTTCAAACCCCTAAGACCTTCGTTCATCTTCAGAACACAAATTAAGATATTTTAGATGAAATCCGAGAGCTTTCTGACCCTGCGTAGACAGCAACGCAACTACCACATTCAAGGCCCAGAAAGGTAGTAAGGACATCATTAAAATTGTTGAAAAAAGTAGTTATTTTTGTTTTCTTTGTGCACAAAAAGTATTCTGGTAGCTTCATAAAATGATGGTTGAACCACCGATGTCACATGAACGATTTTAACAATGTCCTACAACCTTTCTGGGCCTTGAACGTGTCAGTTGCATTACTGTCTATGCAGGGTCAGAAAGCTCTTGGATTTCATCAAATTTATCTTCATTTTTGTTACGAAGATGAGTAAGAAAGTCTTACAGGTTTGGAATGACTAATTAATGACAGAATTTTCATTTTTGGGTGAACTAAACCTTTAAGTATCACTATGAGGTAAAATGTAATGTTCCATATCATATTTATGTGTGTGTGTGTATATATATTCATTACTATTATATATGGTTTGTGAAGATTCTTATGGGAATGGGAAACAAAAGTAGCCTTTTTATGTTGATTTTTTCTTTGTCCTTCAAGATGATCGTCCTACAGTCTCTCCATAAGTATCAGCCGAGGGTGCATGTGATTGAAATAAACAAGAGTGGAGATGAAGAGACGAGTGATCCCGATCGAGTACAGACATTTACCTTTCCCGAAACACAATTTATAGCGGTCACAGCTTACCAGAACACAGACGTAAGAACTAGTCTATCACTGCATTCGTTTACATTACATTACAAAAACTGTAATATGAACTGATTGAATGAATGTGTTTCTTTATTTCCTCAGATAACACAACTAAAAATTGATCACAATCCATTTGCTAAAGGATTTCGGGATAATTATGATAAGTAAGTGCCTTTCCATGCAAATTAATGCATTGCTAATTATTTCTCTTGCAGGTTTTCAGATTTGAATTTGAATTTTGACTTGACTGCAGAAATTAACATGATGTATTTTAAATGTAATTTAAATAAATGTAATTAAACAACATCTTAAAGCATTTATTTCTGGTAGCACTTTAAATTACAATGTGCATGTTACACATATTCCAAATTAAAATAATTAATTACAAATGCAATGGGTCTCAGACACTAACACTTGCTCGGATTATTTTGGATTTTTACGCACAGGAGACCTTTTCATGAAAAATTTCACATTCATACGAAAATGAATTTGTTTTTAACCTCTTGTAATATCAGTGGAAGTTTTCTAAATGAGCAACCACTTGCCTAAGTTTAGTCATTTGCATAAAACACGCCCAAACCATATATACAGCCTTTCGTCACTCTGAGCAAACGCACAACACTCGCAAAATGTCTCATTAGCCAGCTGTACATATGCGAATCTCTGCGTTATTATTCATTGTGACCTCTCAGATCAAGCTATAACACAGCTTTTCGTCCACTGCTTTTCTTTCACACTATATATTGAAATATTTAAGATGAAATATAGTTTTCATCTTAACATGATCATAACGCCACCCAGAGTATGTGCTTTTTTGTTGTAGATCTTTTAGTCAATTTTAGCACAAAAGTTTTTGGTGAATCATGATTTGTCGGTAAAACAGTTGTACATAGATTTCAAGCACAAGTTATTCAGTTATTCCTACATTTTTTTCACAAGTTGTAGTTGGAATTTTTTTGGGTGATTCTGGATTTGTTGGTGAAAATGTTTGAATGCAGATTTCATGCACAAATTTGTGCATGCACATGCTTAGTGAAACCCAGAGTATGCTTTTTGCATATGTGTGGTTTTGTTGTTCCTATATACAGTAAATTTTAGAAAGACAGTTTTTGGTGAATCCATGATTTTTTTGTGAAAATGTTCATACGCAGATTTCACGTACAAATTTATGCATGCTTCGTGAACCCAGAGTTACTATGCATATGTGTGGTTTCAGCTGTTCCTACATTTTTCACAAATTTTAATATGAAAATTTTGGGTGAGTCATGGCTGGGTGAAATTGTTTGTTTGTTGGTTTCACGCACACATTTGTGTGTACACATGCTTAGTAAACCCAGAAGAGTATGTGATTTTTTCATAGATGTGGTTTCAGTTGTTACTGCATTTTATTATAAATTTAGACAACATTTTAGTATAAAAGCTTTTGGTGAAATAGAATTTGTTCATGAAAGTGTTTGTATGCAGATTGCATGCATAAATCTGTACATACACACGCTTAGTGAATGAGACCCAGTGTCACTAACAGTAACATGGACATTCTAACGTAAAATGTGTGACCTCATTTATTCACTGTCTCCAGAAGTTACAGTGGCTCTGACGCTGACCGATTGACCCCTACACTCGGTGGCTCTCCACAATCTCAGATGCTGCCTGGCTCGCGGTATGCAACGACAAGCACTTTATTTCAGGAGCAGTTTGTCAACAGTTACACAAAGTCCTGTTTTCCAACTCTTACCCCTGACCCTGGCCTTGCAACCTCAAACCAATCCCAAGAGAGCAGCTTGGCCTCCGGGCAGCACTGGCTTGTGTCTTCCACTGCTGCTCCATTATACGAAACCGATATTAACACAGCAGCTCTGCTCTCTTACGCCACAGCGGGGGTCAGAGGTCTGCCTTTCACTGGTGGCACTAGTACAAGTCTGGATTACTACACTAGTTCCGCTGGATGGGATTCACAGGGTTTGCTAGAGAACAGCAGTAAAACCAGCTCAATTCTGCCTGGTTGGGTTCTAGATGCAGGTCTTGAAAGATCAACACGATCGAATTACTTGCCTGAGGATGAAGATAGGTTGGAAATAGACCGGTCAGCTCTTGGAGTTTCTAAGGAGCTGGAAGGTGAAGATGCCACGGATTCGACATGGACCGAAACTCAGTCTTCCATTAAACCTGTCGATTCCAGGATTTCGGAGGAGGCGCAACTGAAAAATCCTTCTATCAGTCCAGTTTCAGACGTTCAGACTGCGAAAGACATGCAGAACAGGGTCAAAAATGGGATTAAAGAATCTGACTTTTTTCATTTCGACACTCAAACATAAACCTGCCTGGGCTGAGTGTGCAATTAAAATGTTGTTAATATGGAAATAGCATTATGATGATGATTTATGTATACAGCATTTATTTATTTCCATGTTACACTGCATCATTGAAGATGAACGAGAACTGACATCCCCAACTATCTAAACGCTGTATTTGACGGCTCATATGGCTATAATCTGGTCGTGGTATTATAAAAACAAAAGCAAAAAAAAAACATACATTAAGGTCAACATGTCTGTATTTGTTACAATATGCATCCCCAGTATAATTAATCTAAATACATTTTCATTAGCTTAAAAATCACAGCTGTTTAATATGAACATTTTTATTGATTGTGATGTATCAAAACAGTAGCTATCTTGCTCAAAAGAACAGGTCTTTTTTAATTAGATGCGTATTGTGAAATATCGAATATGATTATGTGAAGTCATGACATTCTGCTGCTGTCAGAATGTTTGATGTGTATAGCCTATATGAATTATCAGAGGTTGAGTATAAATAAATCCCACAAAAACTCAAATTACAGTTTACATTCGGTTGCTTATTTATTGACGTAGTAGTTTCAAGATTGCAAGTTGGTGTGAGTGTATTAAAATATTTTACAACACTGACACCTAGCGCGAATGCAAGCTGTTGGCAGTTCACCGGGGTTTGGAACACCGGTTATGTGTCCTTGACCTGGAGGAAATAATAGTTTAATTCACCCATAAGCGATAGGATTAAACACGGCAGCAGAATCTATCACTAAATACAGCTACACACTTTCTTAGTGTACATTACAGTGAAGGGATCAAGAGAAGAATGAAGCTCCTTCAGCAGCTGTTGAACCCGAAATAACCAGAGACCACCTTCACAGAGCCGGCCAAAGCATGCATTAGTATTTTTACGCATTTCTTGCATAAATAAATGAATACAAAAAAAGAAAAGTTCACTCAAAATTGACATTGAGCCATTTTATTCAGCTATGTTTGGCTTGACGTATAAATGCCACTTGCTTTGTATGTGGAATGAACGTGGTTAGGGATATTTTTACTAAAAGACGTAACACGTTCTGTATACTATTTTTCACACAGAGCTATCATGTGGATTTATAAGACTGGGAGTGTAGGCTGCTATAGTGCAAGTATAATAAATTATTTTTTTTTATCTAAAAATGATCCCCATCCACCCCCACCATTTTGGTGCTTTAAAATGTAACAAATATTTCCTTTTTGTGTTCCACAGAAAAATAACAGAATATGGATTTTGAGCACCATAAGGGTGAGTAAATAATGAAAGTATTTTGGGGGAACTATTCCTTTACTATTTCAGCACCAAAATTCTATTTGAGTATTTATACATTTTTTTTAAATGCACACAAGGTGGTGCCAAAGGAAGAGTTTATTGACTACTCTGTTAAAGTCCAGCAGCAAAGCACTATATGCAACTGTTTACATTTAATTAAGAGGTGTAAAGGGTCAACAGTTTTTTTTTCTGAAAAATAATGTTGTATAAATTGTTCGTGCTGTAAATGTAATTCCACTGCTGGTACTGACCTATCTGTCAAATATAAATCCATCATGGATTTGAAAGTCACTTTCTGGGCACTTACCCTTGCATGCTATTGGACATTTCCACTGTTACTGGCCAGGAAAAATAGATTTTGTGACAACATGCCCATAGTAGTCATGTATTCCATATATATATATATATATATATATATATATATTACTTTTTAATTTTGGGGTGCTATGTGATTTGGTCATGTTTTCATGAGATTCAGCTCACAACTTCTACAACCCTTTCTTTTTTGTTCTCTTCTACCCATTAAACACAATTCTCTGTGTCATATCGGAGATATAGTATTCCCATATTTTTACATATAGTATTACATTCACTGCTCTTTGCTCCTGTCAACAACTCCGTAGAACCATACAAGCATTTCACAGAAGCAGCTGTAACTGCACTTAAATATGCTTTTTTAGGAGTTTGCCCTGCTTCTTCATTGATTGCACTGAATGTGAATGTATTGAAGCAATATCTACAGAAACAGTATAATTATATGAGAATCTCACTGAATTCTCCTGTAGTGTGATTCTCCTGTAGATGTTTAACAAGCGGTTTGTTTATTCTCTTCTTCCGATATTATTGTGCCACGTCCTCTTCATTCCCCAGGCTGATATCAGCTCTCAGGGTTTAAAGCGTCCTGGCTCCACGCTTCTGTTTTATCAGACTGTATATCAGTTTAGTGGTCTCCACCCCAGCAGATATGGCTGGAGGTGTTGCTGTCGTGTAACTCTTCTGATAGCAGGTAAGATCTGCCTACTGGATGGAGTTTGACATTTATATTTGTTTGGATTTGCCCAACTACTGTGGGAAATGAGGCACTGTGATTCAGAGGGACTCTCTAGTCTCCATCTGATATTTATGTTAATATTCAGAGAGAGGACTAAAGGAGTCTAAGACGTGGGACGGGTCTGAAGTGCGGCTCTAGTAATGAGATCCTAGGTGTGGAATGTGGTGTTTTACTAAACAGCAGCATCCCTGTTTTAGTGTGGGCTTATTTTGACGGGGTTCAGGCCTGCCCGGACCTGCAGGACGAGCAGCAGGGCTTTAAGAGGAAGCACCCACAGCAATACTAAATCGCCCACCCCTATGTGACACTGGCACAGTTAATGCTTGGACACAACAGTTCCCTGTGCACAGCCTACTATTGCCAATACAGTTACTTCATTACTAAGATTATCATATTTGGTTACATTATTGATGAAGATGATTAGATAAACAGAAATTAAAAATAGATTAAAAGTGCAATGCAATACAAAAAAAAAACTACTTGTCAAAAAATTGTTAAACATTTTTTTTTAAATGTAAAAAAATATATATATATACATATGTATATATATATATATATATATATATATATCGTTTAAATGTCGTTTAAAAAACATACGCGCAAATACACACGTTTTACTTAAAATTGTAGGCTATAGTTAGTGAAATATAGCCCATGTAACTAGCCCCCGTGTCCCCTATATAAAGAAATTATTTGAAAAGACTATAAAAAGTCAATATTTTTAGGAAATCAGCTTTTTTATTTTTTATTCAGTGATAGGCTATTAAAACATTTTTGACTAAAATAAATCCATATAATTTAGATGTTAAACCAGAAGCAACATTTTTTTTAGGTCGGTTTTTTTTTTTTTTTTTTTTTTGTTGTTGCTGTATCAGGAACAGAGCTGCTATGTATGTGTGTTTGATTATGGACACAGTTTCATTGGCCCCATCACCAAAGAGAGATACCTGAATAATAGATATGGGCAAGGGCAGAAAAACTGTCATCTACTCGCGGGGGAGGAACAACAGCACTTCATCCAGTTTATTGCATTTCCCTCTGCAGAAACGAGAAGCCAGCAGCACATGAATCCTGCAAGCAAAACCCACACAACCTCTGAGAAATGTAAGTATTCTGGACCTCCCATGAGTTAAAAATATAAATACTTAATAATATCCACTGACCGTGACCCACACACACACAAACTCTACATCTAGAAAATCCACAGATATCTTTCATAGGTTCATCTTTCCATGACTCATCTCCTGAGAGTATGATTCGCGTCAGGGCATAAACACACTTGTCAATCTCACATTTAGTAAACCGAAGCCTCAAGTGTCCGTTTGACCCCGGAGTGTTTCGTCCGTTTATCTAACACGTCCCGGTGGTTTCCATTAACTCACGTGCTGCTGGTCGCAGCTGCGTCACGCGAGCTCAAAACACGCCGAAGAAAGAGCGCGCGCGAGTGAAGAAAGAAGGAAAAAAACCAACGGTTACTACACTGCCACCGAAACCGCATCAACATACATGACGTTTTCTCTACGCTCCTAGCAATATTCCCTTCATAGACGAACAAGACCGTATAAGGCAGAATATCAGGGATGGACGTGAAAGATCAGGGAGCGCAGATGGAGCCGCTGCTTCCTGCGGTAAGAACCTGTTTCATTTTTCATGTGGGATCCGTCAGTGAGGAACAATGACAAGATGCTGTTGTGTGTGGAGGAAAGCGGGTTTCGGTGGTTCGAGCCAATTATGGCCATCATTAACCCACCACCATTGGAAGACAGTGTGTTTTAATTATTCATTGCACCTTTAATACAGACTCATTTGCTAGGAAAATGGCTTCACATTACATGGACACGGCGTTTGTAGTGTGACTAGGTTCACACCGGCTTGCGTGGATTATGCATTCAATAACACACGTTTAGTAATGTGTAATGATGACAGACAGTAGGAGTAGGAGTCAAATTTCCCCTGCATTAGTCTTGAATTTGATGAGGCCTTCTCGTGTGACATTTGATTTCAGCTGTTCGCCTAATTTACTATGTATTGCCATGGGCATCTACAGTTGGGGAGGCCATATACTGTATACAAATTTAAAGAGATAGTTCCAACATAGGCTCATTAGAGAAACGAGCCTTTACCTACATTTCTGCAAAACTCCAAACAAATAGCATAAAATTCACTGCAGTTTCCAACTCAGATTTACACTTAAAATCACCAACAATATTTATTTATTTTCATGATTACGGAGCAGATTATCAATTAACAAAGACTTATTTTTGTGTAGTTCAAAACACTTTACTACAACGAGTTATTTGTATACTAATACACTGACATTTGCATCACATATGCATGTCCATATGTAAGCCTATGGCTTTTCTAATTTTGTAAACTTGCTCGATGGCTCACCTGGTACGGTATTGCATTTGCAATGTGAAGTGCTTGGGTACGAGTCCTGTGAAACACAAATTATGATAAAAGAGCTTAAAGACTTCTAAAAGCAAGCCAAAATGGCATGGTTGCTTCAGCAAATTATTTTTATTGTTAACACTGTTGGTTAGGTTTTGTGTAGGTTGTATGTTAATTATAAATTAAATGCAATAGAGCATAACTCTCAGCACCACTCATCAGGCATTTCATTTCTGACATGCCGTGCGAATGGCTGTGTCCCAAATGGCACACATCAGGTGCTCTTGCGGACTTACAGCCGCCGTGTACGCGTGTCTGTTAAGTCCACAAGACCGTAGGGTGTCCCATTCGTCATTTTAGCTTTCAGAAGGGTGCTAGCGAGCGCCCCATTTACGGTCACTATGCACCCTCGATGCTCACTTCTGCCGAGCCTGCACTGAGGCGAGCTCCGCAGCAGGCTTCTACCCGACAGTCAAAGCGGCATACGTCACGAAAGTGTGGACTCAGAGGAAGACCGCGAGGTTTTAGGGTGCGATTTGGGACAGGGCCAATATCTACAACAACCAGTGTAATGAAACATTGCCAGATTTATGTTCATCTCTCTTTCAGAGATAGAAATTGTCACATAATATCATTGTGTAGAAATGTCGCAACTGGCACGTTTTTCCAATGAGCTTGTTTTGGATAGTTAACCCAAAAATGTAAATTCTGTTATTATTTACTGATATCGTTTCAAACCAGCATAGCTTTTTTCCTATAGAATATGAAAGAAAACATTTAAAAAAATGTCTTTACAGTATTTTTGTCAATACAGTAAAAGTCAGTGAGGTCCATTTGTTTTGGACCACATTGACTTTCGCTGTACGAACAAAACCAGTTAAAATGTTCTTTAAAATATCTTCTCTTGTGCTCAGCATAAGAAAGAAAGTCATACAGGTTTGGTTTGACATGAGGGTCCAGAATTGGTTTACAGCCCAAACACCTGATTAATCGCAGCATATTTCATGGCTTTTCCAGCCTATGTTTCATAATCTGTTGGATAAGTAACCCCCAAAATAAGCAGCACTCTAGCCTCTTGCTGTAATTGCTCTTCATCCATGTAAAAAAAAAAAAAAATGATTGGATCAACCCAAAAAAGCAGCAGCCATCTTAACATGGGCTCAGAGCCAGGGTCTCTGCTCCTTCATCACTGACTGTTTGGTGCTGGAGTTGAGAAGAGTTGGCCCACATCCTATTGATTCTGCCACCCGTTCAGTCTTGAGCAAAGACACACACACTCACTCGGCTCCTCAGAAGATATTCACTCCCATACACACTGTGTTTGTGGTTTGCATTCCTGTCTAAACCCTTACGTGCACATTTCAAAGGTTTGCTAAGACGGTGTACACTTACAAAATCCTTAAGTACAGTTTGTGCATATGCAGCAGCAAGGTGTTATCAGTCAATTCCACCATTTGAACACCGTTTTAAACTTTATCCATGCACTAAATTAATAAAAAAAAAAAACAGTTTTAGAACAGTGTAGTGCAAGACAAGAAGCAGATGCTGACCTCGGAAGTACACCAAGAGAGTATTCATAGTTTTGAGGAATGTATTAGAAGTTTCCATTCAGGATTTGGGCCAAAATCACTATTAAGTTGTCATATTGTCAGGAGCCAAGGTTTTAATGACTAATAATATGCAGCATTGCTTAATAAAAATAGGCAAAAAGGGGCCATTTACTTTACTGTTCAAAAGTTTGGTGTCGGTCAGACTAAATAATGTTTTTGAAAGAAGACTTTTATGCTCACCAAGGCTGCATTTATTTGATAAAACAGAGTAAAAACAGTAATATTGTGAAATATTGTTACAATTTAAAATAACTGTTTTCTGTTTTAATATTTTTAAAATGTAATTTATTCCAGTGATGGCAAAGCAGAATTGTCAGCATCATTACTCCAGTCTTCAGTGTCACATGATCCTTCAGAAATAGTTCTAATATGCTAATTTGCCGCTCAAGAAACCTTTATTATTATTATTATTATTATCAATGTTGAAAATAGTTGTGCAGATTAATATTTTTGTGTAAAGTGTGATACATTTTTTTTTCAGGTTCATGTGGAAATCTTTTGTCACTTTTGTTCACTTTAAATGCATCCTTGCTTAATAAAAGTATTAATTTCTTTACAAAAAATCTTGATCCCAAACTTTTGAATGGTAGTGTACTGCCCCAGTTAAGTTAAAAGTATTTTTTTTTTCTTTCTGAGATTATATATGGCATAAAGGCTGAAAAACTGAACAACATGTTGAAATGTTTGAAAAAATGCAGTTCAAATCTAAAATATAAAAAATATATTTTTTGTGATCATTTGGCTGAGCTGAGGGACAGATTGAACACATCATCACTGGGCTGGCAGAGGTCCAGCGGTCGGTTGAATTGTTTCTGATGCGCCGGTTGAATCCACTGGGCTGGTACATTTCACTGTAGCACTCAATGTGAGCTGAACCGATGCCAGTGATCTGAGTCCCAGAGGGCCTTTTCTGACCATCAAGTCACTGCCCGCTTAGCTGCAGCTGGTGCCCTGAATGCTGATGTGTGTGTGATAAAACAGGTCAAAGAAGAGTGAATAATCTTTGTCTATCAGCCGTAACACAGGAATTAGTACATATTTTTTTTATTCTTCATGTTTTGTACTGTTCCTTCATCTGATCTTCTGAATCATGTGCTGAGTCTTTAATTCTGTGGTTAATCTTTTAAGACCTCATAAAATCAAAATGAGAGTTTTGTGGCTTTTAGTGCATGTCTGCTAACATTGAGAGCATTTATATTTTAGTAAAACTTGACAAAAGTATCCTTCTGCGAATATACATGTACAGTTATTATCTTTCGGGACCTAAAATATAGATATGGTGCGGACAAAAAGCAAATCAGGATATGATATCATAGAGTGGACCTTCTTAATTGTGTGTCGAGGTCAATAAATCTCTTAAAATATAGGATAATTTGACATTTTATGACAAGGCGAGGTTAGTTGATTGATTAGGATGTGTAAACTCATATGCATTCGAGGTGTAAGGAAAATATATTATTTTTTACTTGATTACACCAAGTAAATACCACATGACATTTTTAGATTTGTTAAATGTCAACATGTTTTGAAAATGTTACAAAAGTATTTCAAAACCACATGAAACCAGCATGAATACAAAGATAACATTTCTTGATATGTTTTATACTAGTTTAATTACGGTGTTAAAAATTTACCTAGTTTGGATTTCCCAGTCAAAAATGATTTCCCTGTAAAAGTGTTACAAGGTGGGGAAAAAATCCCAATCAGTACAAAAATGACTATAGTTGTTATACCCTGTATGCAAAATGACCAGAACACAACATTAGGGTTCAAGTTTTTTATGCATATGCTTTAAAAAAACCATTGCGTGTAGGTTGTAAAAGTCTGAGCTCTTTCTGACTGTAATGATGTGTGTCGTGTAAATACTCAGTGATGGTGCGAGTGATTTTATTGCCTTTCTACTCCTCTGCAGGTTCAGAGTCCTGCTAGTGATAACGGGGTGAGTCCCAGTTCTTCATTTCCTATGTTATGCTTTTCACAGCATGCACACAATGCAGTGGACTTTGGATTTAATTACTGTTTTGTTTGCGAGAGTGAGTGAGTGTCTGGTTTTCATGCATCCAAATGATGCGATTCATTGTGACTGATTTTCAGTCAATTTTTAATGTCCCCATGTGAGACTGATGCCACTTGACTGGATATTTGTAGGCACGCAGTGAAGCTTGTCACTAGCTGTTAATTCAAATCTCCATCCACAAGCTTTTGGTCACCGGGAGAGTTTAAGAGATATTGAGATGTTTTAAGCACTAATCTTTGTTTAGTCTAGAGCGGCTGTGAGCCTAGAGAGAGAGAGAGAGAGAGAGAGGACAGCATGTAGTGTTGGTCATATAGTGAGCTGGAGAGGAGCCAGTGTGAGCAGACGGCGTGACCGGGGAAGCATGCTGCTCTGGAGGACTTGGAGCTCTGAGGCTACATCCACACGAAGCCAGAGCTTTCCGTATCCGATCTTTTTTTTCCCCTCCTCTCAAGAAATATCTGCGTATACACGAAACCACGGAAACGATGTAGTATACATGCCAGACCAGTATGTGGTGCTGTAATTCTGCCACAGAGATACACTAAAAACGGAGAAGAAGACTTGGACTATGCGAATAAATCTTGCGTGTGGTATACAAACAAACATGGAACAATACATTTGTTAATCTGTGTTAATGTTAGTTAATAAAAAGGCAATCGTTCAGTGTTTGTTCATGTTGTTGTTGCTGTTACGTGAGGTAGCGGTGTCTGACTAGGGGTGAGCGAAGGGGTGATGACATCAACGTTTCCCAAAATATACGGATTGGCTGCACACACGAAAACGCAAGGGTGTCGTTTTTAGATTTATCCACTCTGGGACCCGGTTTAAAAAAATAGCGATTTCACTCTTCCAAAACGCTGGATCCGTCTGGACGAAACGCCAATACGATACAACATTTTTGTGTATACAGCTAAGCGCGTCTACGTGTGGACAGGGCCTGAGACCTGTTGGGAACCTCAGCCTGCTACATGTCTCTATATGCAGAGATTTATAGGACTGCATGCTAGATTCATCACTTTAATAACCAAACACACCCTGCTTAAAAGCCCACAGTGCTCGTGGGAATGTTAGCATCCAAGAGCTGGTTTGTCAAATAATGCGCCTGAGAGGTTTGCTGGAAATGTTGATTCTTATGAATGTGAAAGCTGGCAAAAATGACATGAATGGGCAAATGATGAGTAGATCATTAACTTACAAAAACTTAAATTCTTTTATTTCAATGAAATATAAAAAATAATGAAAATGACAAAAACACACAACTAAATTGCTAAAACTTTAGCTAAAACTACCATGAAAAAAAATGTATTCAAAATATCAATAAAAATATCACTGGTATCGATAAGGAATTTCTGGTCAAATCATTGATAATCAACAGATTTAAAGGGGTCATATGATGTTGCTAAAAAGAACATTATTGTTACAGCCTTATTCCAAAATGAATTAAATTTCATTATTTTCCTCAAAATTCTACAAACAATACCCCATAATGACAACGTTGAAAGAAGTTGGCAAATTTATTACAAATAAAAAAACGTTGTCTAGAAAGTTACAAATCTCAAAGTCCACTCCAAAGGGAGATATTTCGTTTTTTAAAAATCCCTTTTCAAGAACTACAACGAACAGCTCGTTTGGACTACAGCGTTGGTTTCCGGGCTTTGTGATATCACAAAGCGGCCCATTAGAATATCATTAAAAATAAT